GCAGGAGCCAGGTGCTTCTCCTGGTCTCCCATGGGGTTCAGGGCCCAAGCACTTGGGCCATCCTCCACTGCCTTCCCCAGGCCACAGCAGAGAGCTGGCCTGGAAGAGGAGCAACCAGGACAGAATCCGGCGCCCCAACCGGGACTACAACCCAGTGTGCCGGCGCCGCTAGGTGGAGGATTAGCCTATTGAGCTGCGGCGCCGGCTCATATCTTCTTTTTTATTTTATTTTTATTTATTTATTTATTTTTTGACAGGCAGAGTGGACAGTGAGAGAGAGAGACAGAAAGAAAGGTCTTCCTTTGCCGTTGGTTCACCCTCCAATGGCCGCCGCGGCCAGCGCGCTGCGGCCGGCACACCGCGCTGATCCGATGGCAGGAGCCAGGAGCCAGGTGCTTTTTCTGGTCTCCCATGGGGTGCAGGGCCCAAGCACGTGGGCCATCCTCCACTGCACTCCCTGGCCACAGCAGAGGGCTGGCCTGGAAGAGGGGCAACCGGGACAGAATCCGGCGCCTGACCGGGACTAGAACCCGGTGTGCCGGCGCCGCTAGGCGGAGGATTAGCCTAGTGAGCCGCGGCGCCAGCCCTCATATCTTCTTAATATATGTTTAAGCTTCACAACAACTTCAAATATATATCCTCTGGGACCGGCACTGTGGCACAGCAGGTTAAAGCCCTGGCCTGACCCACAGGCATCCCATATTGGCGCCGGTTCTAGTCCTGGCTGCTCCACTTCCGATCCAGCTCTCTGCTATGGCCTGGGAAAGCAGTGGAAAATGGCCCAAGTCCTTGGGCCCCTGCACCCATGTGGGAGATCTGGAAGAAGCTCCTGGCTCCTGGCTTCAGATCGGTGCAGCTCTGGTCATTGCGGCCATCTGGGGAGTGAACCAGCAGATGGAAGACCTCTCTCTCTCTGTCTCTGCCTCTCTCTATAACTCTTTCAAATAAATAAAATAAATATTAAATATATATATATATATATCATCTTTACATTCACAATATAGCTACATTCATTCTTTGTGGGTTTTTTTACCTGTTATATGTCAATTTTTAATCTTATCAAAGGACCAGCCATTGACTTTGTTGAACTCTGTCTCCTAAATGTTTCCTTTCTGTTTCTATCTTTATTTCCTTCCTTGAGATTTAGTTGTTTTTATTTTGTTCTTTTTTTCTCCATCTCAGGTTGGATTAGATTTTTAATCTCATTAATTTTGAGCCTTGCACCTTCTCTAATATAACTGTTTATGCTGTACAACTTTCCCTCCATGTACTGCTTTAGCAGACTCCTTCTTGTTTTGATAGAAATATTTCTCTCCTTTAATTCTGAATGTTTTCTGGATTCCTTATGATTTAATCATTGAGTAATTAGTGTGTGATGGGTGGTTTTCTTTTCTTTTTTTTCTTTTTTTTTTGGACAGGCAGAGTGGACAGTCAGAGAGAGAGAGAAAGGTCTTCCTTTTTGCCGTTGCCGTTGGTTCACCCTCCAATGGCCGCCGTGGCCGGCGCGCTGCAGCCAGCGCACCACGCTGATCTGATGGCAGGAGCCAGGTGCTTATCCTGGTATCCCAAGGGGTGCAGGGCCCAAGCACTTGGGCCATCCTCCACTGCACTCCCTGGCCACAGCAGAGAGCTGGCCTGGAAGAGGGGCAACCGGGACAGAATCCAGCGCCCCGACCAGGACTAGAACCCTGTGTGCTGGCACCGCAAGGCGGAGGATTAGCCTAGTGAGCCGTGGCGCCAGCCGTGATGGGTTTTTAAAAAACCATTCAGTGGGGCAAGCTTAGAGGTTAGGATGCCCACATTCCTTATCTAGTGCCTGGGTTTGATTCCTCGTTTTGGCTCCACCATCCTGCTACTGCAGACCCTGGGAAGCAGCAGGTGATGGCTCAAGTAGTTGGACTACTGCCACTCAATTGGGAGACCTGGGCTGCGTTCCTGGCTCCCTGCTTCAACCCACCATTGCAGGCCGTTGGGGTATGAACCAGTTGATGGGCTTGCTCTAGCTCATGTTCTCACCCTCGCTCATTCTCTCAAATGAAGAACTTATTGGCCATTATTGTAAGTTGCTGAAACACTAACTCATTAATAATTGATATGTAGAAACAAAAACACAAAGACACAAGCATGGACCTGCCTTTCTTTTGTGAATTATATTTCAACTAAACCAAAGGCTTGATTGAGGAAGGATTTTCTTTTTAGAATTCCAGTAAATAAATGCAGACCCATAATAAAATATTAGATCTGTGCAATGATGATCAAAGGTTGTTTAAACAATTGTTTTCTTTTAAAAATGCTTTTGTTTTTATTTTAAAGGCAGAGTGACAGAGAAAGGGAGAGACAGAGAGAGAAATATTCCATACACTCGTTCACTCCCCAAATGGCTGCAATGGATGGGTCTGGGCCAGGCCAAGGGCAGGAACTTGGGACTTCATCCAGGTCTCCCATGTGGGTGACAGGAGCCCAAGCATTTGAGTCATCTTCTGCTGCCCTCCCAGGCACATTAGCAGGGAGCTGGATAGGAAGCAGAACCCCTGGATAATGAACTGGCTCTGCTATGGGATTCTGGCATCACAGGTCACAGCTTAGCCCACTGCTCCACAACACCTGCTCCTAAAACCATTATATAAAAGTTTGGGGGAGGGGAGGTATATGGAGTGTTGTGGCATAGGGAGTAAAACTTCCATGTGCAATGCAAGGGTGTCATTTCAAGTCTGGCTGCTCCACTTCTGATCCTGCTCCCTGCTAATGGCCTGGGAAAAGCAGCAGAGGATGACCCAAGTTCTTGGGCCCCTGCACCCAAAAGAAGCTCCTGGCTCCTGGCTTCAGCCTGACCTGTTCCCAGACATTGTGGCCACCTGGGGAGTAAAACAGCAGATGGAAGATTCTCTCTCTCTCTCTCTCTCTCTCTCTCTCTGTATGTGTGTGTGTGTGTGTCTCCCTCTCTCACTGTAACTCTTTCAAATAAATAAATCTTTAAACATAAAAGTTTGATGGGAAATGTACAATAGAAGAATCAGGGCCGGCGCCGTGGCTCAATAGGCTAATCCTCCGCCTTGTGGTGCCGGCACACAGGGTTCTAGTCCTGGTCGGGGCACTGGATTCTGTCCCGGTTGCCCCTCTTCCAGGCCAGCTCTCTGCTGTGGCCAGGGAGTACAGTGGAGGATGGCCCAAGTGCTTGGGCCCTGCACCCATATGGGAGAGCAGGAAAAAAAGCACCTGGCTCCTGGCTTCGGATCAGCAGCGCACCGGCCACTGTGGCCATTGGAGGGTGAACCAACGGCAAAAAGGAAGACCTTTCTCTCTGTCTCTCTCTCTCTCACTGTCTACTCTGCCTGTTAAAAATAAAAAAAATAAAAAATAGAAGAATCAGACTGATGCCACCTAAAGCCACTGATCTTTCTTACTGAACATGTAATAAGGTGATGAATACAACGGAAGTGTATCCCATTAGTGAAGGCATCCCACCCAGAAAAGAAAGAAAATTGAATGAGGATCTAACCATCCATGTGATAGGAAGTGGAGCAACCAGGACTTGAACCAGCATCCATATGGGATGACTGTATCACAGGGGGCAGCTTCACCCACTACACCACACAACAACAATTGTGTTCCCATACCTTAGTCTTTTAAAATGGAAATAGTATGCAGATCCTCCTATAAATTTGTTGAAACTTGCCTAATACATTAACTCTTTTTCTTAAAAGTTGTATACGTGTCTATTTTTATCTTAAAATAATTAAAGAAATGGCATTTTGCATTACAGTGTATTTTTTTCATAAAGTAATACTTTTGTCAAGTGAAAGACCTCTTCATAACTTAAATTTTGGTTTTCATGTGGTAAATTTTCTTAAAGGTCAACATAAACATGCTGTTCCCCTAAAAAAAAAAAAAGCCAGAAGCCCTTAGAATTGTCATAATTTTCCTACTGTCATTTGACCTATGTAATTTGCCATTTTTGTAAGGATATTATGAAGATAAAAGTTGCAGCATTTGTAAAGTCAGTCCAACACTTGCTTCCATACGGCTGTTCTGATACTTTACCACACGCTCTGGGTCAAAGTGATGCTGATTTTTCTTTCAATGTTTTCTTCCACATTTCATGTGGGATTCTTTTCCAGAGAATTGGGGGAGGATGAGAAAGTATTGCCTGACCCTGTCTACTATAATTGCTCGCCTATGATAAAGAAACCATTTTTACCTAGGTTTATCTTTCTGGGTAGAAAAATTGAATAACTTCAGAAAAATCAAATAAAAGGAAAGTTCTGTCCTCTTAAACTTTGGCACTTTGTAGATAGGTATCTTTTGATGTTTTGATTTGAAAGAAATATATACATTGTTTCCAAGGCAGCGCTCTTAGAAGCCAGCACTAAATTCACTTTGTCCCAGATGATTTCTTTAGCCCTTACAGGACCATCACAAGAAAGGGAGCCTACTTCATCCCCAATAACTGGTATTGTTTCCCAGTGGGCATGGAGGGAGGACTACCACTGTTAACTAATTGCTCTTCCTTCATTTCTGATTACAGATTATTAATGTGCTTAATTCTATTATTTCCTAAGTAAAAGTTCACAACATTTTACTCAGTCCTAAGTATTTAGTTCAGAGGTGGGAAGTATATTCACGCTGTTTGCAACCATCACCACTCGAGTCTCGGGAACCTTCTCATCTCCCCACACTGCAGCCCTGTGCCCGTGAAAGGGTGACTCCCTGTCTACCCCGTCTCTCAGTGCCTGGAAACCACCCTTCTGCTGTCTGCCTCTATGAATTTTGAAAGGTTTCTTTTCAAGGGCAATAGTTTGAAGTCAGTTTTGGTTTTTCAGTTTTTGTTTGGTTTGGTTGTTTGGTTCCCACCCACCCACCCCAGTAAAGAGGGGTGAGGGTCTCTTAATGGAGCTATCCTCAGCGCTGTGGACAGGACAGAACTGTGTGATTATTTATAGGTAAACGGTGTGCACTCCCTGAGGCCGCTCACTCACTATGTTCCATGACGTCTGTTATAGGAAGAGAATTTTTTGTGGGCCTTTCCAAAAGGACAAATCAACGAGGTGCTGAAATCTTGGCTGATACTTTTAAGGTAGGTAAAGGATAATTTAGGCCTGGCACAGAGTAATTACGACTTAATAAATATTCATAGACCCATTACAAAAATATGTCTTGAATAATGGTGTTTATATTCCATCAGCTTTGCAAAAAGTTCCTAATATTTTTAAATTTATTGGATGTCTTAGAAGTTATCAAGTTCAAATTTCTCAATAAACAGACTTCCTTGGATTACCACAGAAGCAACAGATAAAGTTCGCATGGGCATCTTAGGTTTTCTTCCAGGGTATAATCATGCAAACACTTGGCAGATGTTCCTGGCACAATCAGCGGTTTCAGGGGAAAAAAAAAGCTGGATGTCTCAATTGAGTCTGAAATGAAATGTGATTTTTTCACATTGGAATTAAAGGTCACCTCTACATGGGTGCCTACTATGTGCTGGAAACTGCTAGATGTTACACATACAACCTCTCAAATTCCCTTTACTGGAAATTAATAGATCAGCTTGCAGGACTGCTTAAAAATGGATACAACTGAGGTAATATTTAGTGCAGCAGTTACAAAACCGCTTGGGATACCTGTATCGCATATCACAGTCGCTGGTTCCAGTCTCAACTCCACTCCACTTCTGACCCAGTTTCCTGCTAATACACACCCCAGAGAGAGCAGCTGTTAGTGCCAATATTTGGGTCTCTCTCAAAGGAGACCTGGACTGACTCCCCAGCCCAAGTTATAGGCATCTGGGGAATGTACCAGACAATACAAGATCCCTCTCTGTGTCCCTGCCCTTCGAGTAAAATGAAAATAAACAACCAAAAAAAATTTTAAAGAAAGAAATATAACCCCCAAGAAATTCCCTGTGAGGCAGTTTTTGGAGGATATTCAAACACACCACCCCATCACAGCCCTGCCACAGGCCAAACAGCCAGCAAAGCTGTTGATACAGCCACATCTGGAAGGGAGCTCTATGCTTTCTTCTTAGAAGCAGTCTTCATTTAGCTGGAAATACCAAATCCTCTTGGCCCCAGTTTTCCTTCCAGACATTCATGGCCTGCCAGTGAACACACATGGTTCAGGCAGGTTTTTAATCAGTTTTAGAATTATTCTGCAGTCCCAAGCTGTTGTTTGTTTTGTTTTGTTTTGCAATCCACATAGGACTATGCGGTCTCCACAGTCCCAGTGGCTGATGCCTTGCATTTGAAGAGTTTCTGCAGCATGGCAGGGCCTAACCTGATCGCCATTGGGTCCAGTGAACCTGCGCAGAAGGCCCTCAAGGTAAAGAGGAGACTGCTCCTTCTCGGGGTTTTCCCAGTTCTCTTTGCTGGTGGGCAGCAAGCAGGGTTGGCAGGGAAAGAATGGACTGACATTTGAGCTATGTGTGATGTACCCTGCTGTGATGTCACATTCATTAGGAACCAGGAACACCTAAAGGTGGGAAGAACTCTTCACTGGTGAACCATTTAGTTACACACCGGGTTTCCTTGAAAGGCTGAAATTGGCTAGCGCCGTGGCTCACTAGGCTAATCCTCCGCCTCTGGCGCTGGTACCCCGGGTTCTAGTCCTGGTTGCTCCTCTTCCAGTCCAGCTCTCTGCTGTGGCCCGGGAAGGCACTGGAGGATGGCCCAAGTGCTTGGGTCCCTGCACCCTCAGGGGAGACTGGGAGGAAGCACCTGGCTCCTGGCTTCGGATCGGCGCAGCGCTGGCCATAGCAGCCATTTGGGGAGTGAACCAACAGAAGGAAGACCTTTCTCTCTGTCTCTCTCTCTCTCTCTCATTAACTCTGTCCGTCAAAAGAAGGGAGGGTGCGAGGGAGGGAGGGAGGCTGTGATTGAGAATAATAAACTCCAAGCTTTGAGGGGCTGAGGGAAAGAAGACATGGCAGCTGATAACACTCCTTCTAATGTTCTGTCTCTGAAGTGGGGGAACTGGTACACAAAGGCTTGCTAATAATATTCTTATTGGTTTGTTGTGTCTGAACTATTTCCCAATGATCTTTCAGAAAATCATGATTCAGAAGGACCTAAAAAGCATAACTTCTTATTTTCATTTGGAATAATTAAATTTTAGGACAGGAAATCTCCTCATTTTTTTATATGAGAATAGGAAAGCCTGGGAAAATTGTGACTTGCCCAGGCCACACAGACAGATCAAGAGTGGAAATCATGGATAATAAAGAAGACCTTCCCTGTGAAAGTGCTCTCCATTTCAGAGAGCACTTCACCATAACTTCAACCCTGGGGGAGGTATCCGGCACCTGTAGTGACAAAGGCTGTGTCAGTTTTGCTCTCTCCATTGTGCCTCTTGGTGCATGGCTTCTAGCAGGCCCTTCATAAATGCCTGGAGAATGGATGAATGCATGCATTAGGTGCTGTTCTCTCCATTGTGCTGATGAGAAAACTAGATTGAGTGACTCACCCCAGGTCACAAGGCTAATACTAAATAATTGGCTGGGACTATAGCTTCTTCCTCTTGGGTGGCCCTGCATGTCAACTTGCATGACTTACTCAAGGACCAAAACCCAGAAACTCCTGATAGGCAAAGACAGCAAATCTATGTGCACTAATATCTATGTAATTTATTGGTTTGCCCTTCCAGGTCTTCTCTTCTTCTGTGTCAGTGCTAAACCTGATGATATTTGTCTGGGAAGCAGTCGTTGTGCTGAGATGAATTTTCCCTATGCATTACCTGCAGTGTTTTCAGCTAGCTCACCCAGACTTTCTTTTCCTCCTCTCCCAAACTGTCTCTGTATTTCCAGGGTTTTGGGCAATTGCAGCTGAACAGTCTGTCCCGGAATTTGATTTGTGTCATGGTGGGTTTTTTCTTCATTTCTTCATTTCCTTTGTTCTACTTCATCTGGAAGATTGTGTCTACTTGCTATGTGTAAAAAAAGGTGACATCTTGAAAGAAAGAATCTGATGGATGTGTCATCTAAGTAATCGAGGAAGATGATTTTTCTCCTAAGGGAGTGACTGTGGGATTGACCCATGGCAGCTGGTGTGGTGTGAAATCAATTACAAGGACCAGAGAGAGCTTATGCTGGCCTAAACCATGCCTTAGTGTGAATTAGCAGAAAGAACTCTGAGTGGACAAATTAGAAAAAGTGGCCCCTTCTGCCACACTGGTTAGATGCCCATAACTTAAATAGCTTGTTCACTGGACTGGCATCATGGCACAGTGGCTTAAGCCATATGGCTCTGGATTGAGTCCTGGCTGCTCCACTTCTGATCCAGCTCCCTATAAATGGCCTGGGGAAAAGCAACAGAAGATGGCCCAAGTACTTGAGCCCCTACTATCCATGTGGGAGACCTGGAAGAAGCTCCTAGCTCCTGGCTTTGGCTTGACCCAGCCTTAGCCATTGTGGCCATCTTGGGAGTGAACCTGCCGATGGAAGATCTCTCTCTCTCTCTCTCTCTCTCTGTCCCTTTCTAATTCTGACTTCCAAATAAATCTTTTTTAAAAAGATAGCATGTCCCTAACTCAGTATGTCCCTAACTTAATATGTTCCTAATTCAGATAGTCTAGAGAGACTAGTACATAACACAGTAAGAGATAACATGATGAATTAGCACTGTGTTTCACAAAATAAACTCTAACTTCTGTTCAAAGTTCAGTGGAGAGGGGAGAACTCCTCGAGGACTATGGATTCAGAGTAAGCTTCCTGGAGACAATAAAATGACACTAGACATGGGTCTTGAAGCATGGGTGACATTTGACATGGTGGGCTTCAGTAAGAGTTTCCAGATGGGGACATGGGCATAAGCAAAAACTGATGTGGACTTTTGAAGGTACATTGGGGGAGGGGGCAGCAAGTGAGATCCAAAGAGCTAGAAACTTAAAAGTGAGGACACCAGGATTATCACTGTGAAGCAGGAGTCTGGGCACCCACCAGTCTCTGAGCAGAGGGTTCACATTTACTTCAGAGAGGTTGTACCAACATCCCTTTTGCAGAAAACAAATTGGAGGGGAAGACCTTGAAGTCAGAAAAGAAGACCATGCATGGCATAGCAAAAGAAGCCAAACCCCAAATCCTTTGTGTGGCTTAGCAAGTCACTCCCATGTCTCTGTTCCCTTCCCATTTCCAAATTTTCCAAAACTCTATCTCTTAAGGGCATCCTAGGAGAACTTTATTGTCCTCCTTCCTGTAGAGTTTATTTGAGTTAGTGTTAATAATGATGTTCATTCTCTACTTGAAGCCTTCTGTGTCAGAAGCTATAAATAATCCTCACAGGCTAGAAAGACATTCTTTGGAGATCATATTTTCCATCAGCAAATCTGCTGCCTAAACCATGGTCCTGTGGAGTTGGCGAATGCCCACCTGCCATGTTCCTAGCATCAAAAGTGTCCTCTTACCTTGTAGTTAAAGGAGGAGGACAAATTGATCTGGAGAATAATGAAGGCTCCCTGAGGGAATGGTCTGAGGTTGGAAATAGATGGGTTAGTGAAATTCAGATTAAAGAGAACTGAGCAGTGTATTTATTCAAGAACAGTTTGGCTCCTGTATTAGAGCCAGGGATATAATTGCTAATGAGACATAAATATTGATACAGACAGGCAGGAAGACAGATGCATAGACAGAAAAATTATATACAATTAGTAAAAGTATTATTGGTTTTACTTTTCTCATTTTATGAATGAAACTACTGAGACCTGTTGAAATAGATATTTTGAGTAGAATCTCGTGGCTCCAGAGTCAGGTTTCCTGGGCCCTGATTCTCCTTGCTCCATTGGCCCACCCCACTGCATACTCATTCTTTTGCTATTGGAAAATTTTTTCTGATTCTTTTACCATGGATTGGTTTTTGCTGAGCTCCCTCTCCTCTTCCCTTTTTTCTCGAACTACCCACCCCTTCCCGTTTTTTGCTGGTATCTAGGATCTGACAGGCTCAGGGAAGGCCTGATTTGGTCTCTTACAAACCTTGGTGTCTCAGTCCTTGCCTCTGTAGAGAATGTGGCCATTTGGGCATCTCTTCAGAGGGCCTGTTCTTTAAGTATAGGTGAGCCATGCATCTCAGTGCCACACGCCGACAGCCGGAATGCTTCCTACATCTATCAGTGCTCTCTGCCTCCTTGTTCCCTTCTGAGTCGGAAAGCCGCTTCCTGCGTGTTCATAGAAAACTTAGAGCCAGGGGTTTCTGGGTAGTCTTATTGCATTTGAAACATGTGTTGCAGCCTATTCTTGGTTAATGAAGTGGGCGCTTATGGAGATAGTCATCATACCTGTCTAGGTTGGAGTAGATTCAATAGTGTGTGCATTGTCTATTTAAATGAAATCATCCATGCAGGAAGATTTTAGCAACTCTCTGCTAAAAAGCCCAGAACACATTTATTACAGGGTAGCAGGGAAGGAAGAAAGCATTTATTACTGCGTTTTACTATGGCTATGGAAAGTAGGTTTTTTTTGAAAGAATTCCTGAAGATATTTAGTATCAAATCTGATCCTAGAAATACTATTGTTTAACCAAAAATAGTCTTTACAGCACCCTGCCCTTTCCATGGTTTTTCTTCCACACATTTCAGCATTCCTTTTATGGCCCTGGACAATCACCATCTTCCCCCTACCCTTTAGTTATAAAAGGAAAGGTTGTAAGAGTCATTAATACAAGCACAGGCCTTGAGCCTACTAATTCTTATCCTGAAGGGATGTTTGCCTCTGCGTGATGAGAACTCACTCCAATGGCTGCTCACAAACATAATGTTGGCAATAGGAGCCCATGTCTGAAGAATAATGTACTATTATTCCATTGATTTAAAGTAAAACAATCAAAACCACTCTATAGTGTTAGCAGTCTGAGAGTGAATCACAGGCCAGAGGACTGCTTGGTATGGGATACTTTTTTTAATTTTGGGAAAAATACATGTCTTATATTATTGGAATAATTATTTCCCAGCAGCTAGGCCTGTGAGCTCCCAAGCCCCTGACTTCCCCTCTGCATGATGCCTGGCTTTCCTACAGACTAGCCTGCTTTTAATCTCTTTAAGGGAGGAAAAGGCATCAGAAAGGGCAAATTTGTACTGCGTCTCACCCTGTTCTTTCCTAGATCCATGCCAAAAACCTGGATTAATTGCATGCTATCTGTCATGGAAGGACAGACTGATATCTGCCCTCAAGAGGGACCCACAGTAATTCTCAGTAATGATCTTTAACTCAGTCTCCTTGGTAGGTAGCATTCAGTCCTCCAGTTGATGGGGCTGGGGAAGAGTGGGGGTGGGTAAGAAGGAAGAATGAAAGGAAGGAAGGAAGGGAGGATTTAGGAAAGGAAAGGAGGAAGGAAGGA